TGTTTTGGAAGCAGGGTGAACTCAAAGTGTGCTCCGTGGACATCGGTTTATGTTGATAAGTGAAAACCATTTTCTCCTGTTGTCTTCCTACCTCTCTTCCTTCCTTTCAACAGGGTCTTATTTGTCCCAGGTTGGCTTGGAACTCACTGTGTAGGCGAGAATGATCTTGAACTGTTGATCCTCTTGCCTCTATCTCCTGATTGTTTGGATTCCAGGCAGATACCACCTCACCTGGTCTATGAGGTGCTGGGGATCAAATCAGGACCTTGTGTTTGCTAAGCTGGCACTCAATTCATTCCTATTCCTAGTCCCCACACTGACCTATGACCCTCCATGCGCTAGTTTCTTTGTGAATGCTTATGTTCTGGAGATGTGTATAATAGCTTGTTTGATGACAGTTCCTTTGAAAATCACTTTGGTCATTTGACACAGATAGGAGTGTGCATTCCACTCTGTGATTTTTTTTCTACTGGACTCAATTGGTAAAATACACTTTTAATGATTTTTTTTGTCTGGCAAGACTTTACGTTATTTTAGAATAGCTGGCCATATAAAAAGTTTTAAAACTAAGAGCTTTATAAAACCAGATTTCATCTAGAAAGGGGTACCTGTGTGAAGCAGAATCCATTGGCGATATTAAGGTTAATACTGCAGTCAATGAAAGGGTCTCTTGCACCGCACGAGTCACATATCCAAAGGATGAACTTCTGCAAGTAAGACACCGTGATAAGTCTTCTACAGAAAAACATTCGTACAGGCACTGAGTTAGGTAAAGCAATGTTTTTCTCAAAAATGCCCAGAACATGTGGATGACGTGTTATCTCTGTTGGGGCAGTTCAAATTATAGTTACAATAAGAGAATACAACTAAGTCACACACGAACATACAATTTGTCCTTACAAAGCCTTTAACCCACTGACCAGGAAAAGGCCAATGGGTCTTTCATCTTTCAAGATGAAAGAACTCCAAACGAAATAGGAACACCAAAGGCTACTGTGGAAGCCCGTGCCCGCTTAGGCATATGGTAGTAATCTGCTAAGCACAGAGGTGCAATGTGCTGGAGAATAAGCAGAACAGGTTTGTCAGACAGCGATTCTGACTGATGAGCTCAGTGTTTATTATGGGAAAGCAGAGGTGCGGAGAAGCACGCAGAATCGCTGCTTCCGTTTTCATTTCAAAGTCATTTCAGCATCTCTTGTAAGAAGTATGGCCTTCATTTATGCAGATGATCCTTCAGGGGGCTGAATACCTGAACACCGTAATGCTCAATGCTCAATCCCAGTATTTCTGTGCGCTGAAGAGTCCATCGCATGGAGAAAGACGTTCGTGTGCTCGTCAGGAAGTGTGTAACATTTGACAGGTAGCTTAGTTACTGATTGATGATGAAACTACAGACCCTGAAGATTCAGCATCTGAGTAAGAGGTTGGATGTGCACATAAATGGTTTACCCAGGAGATATTCAGCACTTCTTGGTTGAATAGAGCCCCCTGATTTCCAGCTGTCTTTTGCATTTAAAAACGATTGGGAAACAATTGCGACAGCCCTGTCAAGAATGTATAAGGCAACAAGTCTTTTGCATTAGCAGCCTATGACTACAGGGCTTTCAATTAGTATAATTGGAATTGCTTAGCTGTGCTCTATGACCA